TCTGGGATCCACTTTCAAGGCCCCTTTTGTTCGCAGCCGTGTCCCAACCCTCCCTGCTCTCCTATCTGCCTCAGCATGCCTAAAAATACCAAAGGCAAAACACACACAGATCCAACCCACCTGCAGCTGGGACAGGGAGAGTTAATGGCAGAGCCAGGGATGAGCAAGCGCTTGGCTTGAATGGGTGACAGCTGCCCCAGTGGGGAGTGATACAGGGGATCTTCGTGCTGTGGGAGCTCAGCATCCATCCCCAGCCTCATCCAGCCTCTTTTGGATGGGTTCTGGCTCTTGGAGTATCACAAGTGATGGGTCCCCATTGTATCCAGGGCTCCTCTTTCTTTAGCAGCTAAGCAGAGCCCAGTTTTCCCATTCAGAAGATGCAGTAGGTCCTAGAGATGCTTAGCAAAACATCCCTGTCCCTCGGTTGTGAGGGAATATAAGGCAGCTTCTTTATTACGAAGAATGAGGGGGCATTTCCACCCTGCAGCAAAAGGGAGGCACTGCACCGTGATTTGGGGGCACAGTGCTGGGCCAGATAACCCCACAGCAGCCCTGCAGAGGGGAAGAGCACAGCCTCTGCCCTCTCAAGTGGCAGCTCGTGGGAGCTGCAGGGCCTCCTGGTGTGCTGCTAACCTTGAAAGCCTCTGTCTCACATGTCACATCCACCAGTGACAACAGCAAGCTTGCTGCAGATTAGAGGAGGAGAAAGTCAGAGACAAGAGGGTTGGGGGTGGCTGGTTTACCTATTACAGCCAAAAGTGGGCATGGGGCTATTTTTAGCCTGGAATGGGGTGTATTTATTGTTTCAGTCCAGGGGAGAAGAGGGACTGCCTCTGAGATTCCTCCTGCAGCACCACCAGCACCTCTGCGAAGCTATGGTGAGTGCTGGGAGCCACAATGGGAACAGGCAGAGTCTGTGGCACTGTGTTCTTATTGGGATGGCGTTAATGGGCAGAGAGTGAGGGAAGCTGCGGGGTCTGATGGCCGAGGGGGTAAGCATGGGTAAGCCCTATACTGGGGTAAGCAGATGTAAAGCATCCTGCAAGGACAAGTGAGGGCAGAGAGGTGTCTCTTATGTTGGTAGCACTCTACAGAACTTCCTGGCAGAGAGGCTGTTTGGGGGCAAATGCTGTCTTTTTCTTTTCCCTTCCCCATGCAGCTAGAGGAAGGGCAATTCTGTCCCTAAAGCCCTCCTGCTGTGTTTTCTCTTGGTAGAATCCTAATTTTTGGAAGGGAAAAAGCTGCATGGATGTGCAGCTCACCAAAAGTGAGGGCGTTTCTGGTTGATTCAAACCTCAGTGCAAGGAGATGGCATTTTTTTAAATATGCAAATACATTAATTAGCACTTTGCCCTTAGTGAGAGGCTCAGAGCAATGAGGAGACATCCAACGACCACAGCCCTATGTGGAATGCCAGCAGCGTGCTCCTGAGGCTGAGCAGATCTCAGCCTGGGCTTGACTGCTTTATCCACCACAGCTGAGAAAGCAGAAATTGGAAATCCAGCTCCTTTCTGCTCTGAACTATTTGGCCAAATTCGTCAGGAAAGCGAAGACAGATCTGTACTCAGAGCAGAAATCTGAATGCTCCTCAGCAGCTCAGAGTGCTGCACGTGCCCACGGGCCTGAGCAGCACGTGGGGAATCACCAGGCACCAGCCCCACGCTGCCATGAAGGACTTATTGCTAAGCACTGCCATGAAGGACTTATGACTAAGCACAGGGTGGTTCAATGCTTTTATTCCACGCCATAAAAAGACAGTAAGTGAGTGCTACATACTTGAACCCTGCAGGCACCCAAGAAAGCCAAGAAGAGGATTGAAGGTGCGAATTCCAATGTCTTCTCCATGTTTGAGCAGGCCCAGATCCAGGAATTCAAAGAGGTAGGTGGATTGCGTAGAAGCAACCGGGGGCCCTTGATGCAATGTGACCTTCAGCTCTTTCCTCAGTGCTTTGAGAACGATGACAGTTGGCTTGCAATAAGAGGCAAAGTGCCCATTTTTTGAGTTGTTTTATTTTAAAAGTGAGAATAACAGCTCAGTGACACTGTTAAATATGGAGCTGCCTCAAAGCATCCTGTGAGCTTGCTCCCATGGTTGGAGGCTCGAGTTATCCTCCCAGTTTGATCTCATCTTGGTGTGAGAGGGCTTTGGGCAAGGCACAGCTTTGGGCTTGGGCTGCCATAGGATGAGGGGCATGGGTGAGGGGTACAGAAGCATTTGCGAAAGCTGTTGGCTCTCCCTGTGCTCCCTGCCTTCCTCCTCTGCTTCCAGGCATTCACTATCATGGATCAGAACCGAGACGGCTTCATCGACAAGGCGGACCTGAGAGATACATTTGCTGCACTCGGTGAGCCCCCATTTAGGAGCCTCTCCTTCCAAGCAGCTCTGACCATATTAGACCAACTAAGTGCAAAACCAGCTGTGAGTCCTCATTTAGCCAAGCCCTAGTGGTTAAGTGCATCTTATGCATGTTTTGCTGAAAACCTGACCCCAAACCATTTTTGTTAGTGTGGTGAATCAGAGCAACTCACAGAGCAGTTGGTGTTTGACCATGTAGGTACTAGACAGAACCTGCACCTGGGTTACCCAGAGCCAAGTGTTCCCTTTGTTCTCTCTTTGATAAGCACCTGGATGTTCCCATCCTGCAGCATCCCTGAGTTTATGGGCACTGGGAGGATTTATGGGAATCATAGGAAGCTGTGAAGCCACAGCTGGGCTCTCTCATCACTGAGGCCAACACAAACTGGTAATGGGCCTTTTACCTTTTACTTAGGCGAAAGGATGCAGGCATTCAGACCTGTTCATTTCACCCATTACAGCCAGGTTCAGGTACATCTCCCACTGTCCTCATCATTACAACAAAGACCTTGTCACCATGTCCAGGAGACTCATAGTACTGCTATTTTTGCCCAAAAATATCTTCTGAAGATCAAGCTAATCCCAAGGACAGTGGGGCAGAGGAACGAAGCAGCACAGCTCAGTTTCTCAAGTTTGCAGCTGGTTGTGACATTCACCAAACGCTGCTCTTTCTTAGGGCGCCTGAATGTGAAAAACGAGGAGATTGATGAGATGATCAAGGAGGCACCTGGTCCAATCAACTTCACTGTGTTCCTCACCATGTTTGGGGAGAAACTCAAGGGTAAGAGGGAACCTGGGGAGCAGGGATGGGCTTGGCAGGTGCTCACCTCACACCACCACTGTGTCCTGTCCCATTTGGGGAAGCCACTCAGCTCCTGGGGCTTCCAACCCCTAAGGGTGAGACCCCAAGTGCCTGCAGATGTTCAGGGGGGAGCAGAGGTAATGCAGGTAGTGTTGATCATGGTGTGCAGAGCCCAAGAACGGGTCAGAGGTTGTCTAAGCAAAGCTGAGTAGGAGCAAATCTCTGTGCCCCAGCCATTCAAGACAAGCATCCTGCCATGATGCTGCTGTCCCCACAAAAAGAGGGGACAGGAGATCCTGCAGTGCCCTGTGTTACTATGACCCAGCTGCATCCCTTATCACTTATGCAAGCTGAGGCATGCAGCCTCCCCGCAGATCTCCTGGAGGCCTCACAGCCCCAAGGGCCTCTGCCTGGAGCTCTATAAATACACACAAAAGATTAGATATGCACTGGCTGCCAGGGAGGAGGTGACACAGCCTGCTCTGTGGGCACACCACAACCCTACATCTGCTCCCTTCCGTGTCGACACACACGGTGGCCAAAATGGGAGGGATGAGGGGGGTCAGCATTCAGGCAGAATCCCCTCGCCCTCTAAATCCCACTGTATTTCGTAAGGGGGTTGTGGGAAGCAGGAGGCTCCTCCTGGCTGCTTCTTCCACTGCTTCCAATGGTCATGGATGTGCTGCCCACAGGCGCTGACCCGGAGGAGACGATCCTGAATGCGTTCAAGGTGTTTGATCCAGAGGGCAAAGGGCTGAAATCTGCCTAGTGAGTGCAGGGGAGTTTGAGGGGAGGGAGGGTTTGCGTTGAGGCCCCCCCAGTACCCACCACACTCTCTCATTTGCAGCATCAAAGAAATGCTGATGACACAGGGCGAGAGGTTTTCCCAGGAAGAGGTATGTGCTCCTGCCCCCACCCTCCATCCCTGCCCATTCCCACGGGTTGAACCTGCTGCTTTGGTGCTGGGTCCTCTTGCCTCTCACAGTGCTCAGCTTGGGGTCTCAGTTTCCTATTTAAAAGGGAAGGGCAGATCAGGCAAAAATGTATTCCCAAGAAACCAAGAAATGGTATCCCACCAGAGCCCCACTGGCCGCCTCTCACCTCACAGCAGTTTTGCTGAGCAGGGCACAAGAGAGATGGGGCCTGGAGCTGGACTCAGTGAACTTTATGGGTCTCTTCCAACTTGGGATATTCTGTGATTCTTTGCCCCCCTTTATTCTCTCGGATCTGCAGGTGCACTAAAGCTTGTGCAAACCAGGCTGAGCCCTGAGCCCCAGCTCCTGGCCAAGCCCCAAACCCTTCCTGTGTGCCCTTTTCACCACGGCTCTTTCCTGCAGATCGATCAGATGTTTGCTGCCTTCCCTCCAGACGTCTCTGGCAACCTTGACTACAAAAACCTCGTCCACGTCATCACACATGGAGAGGAGAAGGACTAACCCATGGATTCAACACTGGGGTTTAGCACTGTGGGATCATCTCCATGTGGGTCACACTGTAGGTTCCCTTTGTCCCTCTCTCACGGGAGGTGCAGAGCTGTTCTTCATGGGGATAACAACCCAGAACAGCAGCAACACACAATAAAGTGCATTTTGGTAAGAGGAAATCCAACTGCTGTGTGTGAGCAGTGCTTGGGGTTGGCTGGATGCACTGATGTGGTGTGGTGTGTTGACAGCTGGAAGGGCACTGTGCCATCCCATGGCAAAGCCATGCCAAAATACGACCTACAGAGCTCTTAAAGCATTGAGCTCCTTCCAGGAGACGGAACAACAGTTGGGTTGGGCACTGCAGAGGCACAGAGATTTGAGGACAGATCTGTTTATTTAACTCGGCACCACCAGGCTGTCATGCCTTGATGTCGTTCCTCCCCTTCTTGTCTGCTCTGACAGCACTGCCTTGCTCGTATTTCGGGAGAAGCAGCTCACGCAGCTGTGCGTGGTCCAGCGGTGCCTCAACTGCAAAACAAAACAGCCACCCCCTCACACCTCATCACACAGCTGCCATACCCAGCAGGGAGCCGGAAGAACATTGCAAATGGGCTGATGGTAAGGGCACAGTCCCTCCTTCCCCCCTCATATGCTCTGTATGGGAACTGTTGAATCACAGCTTGAAGCACTGATTGAGCAACTGGGGAAAGGACTTGGTCAGCTCTGGGAGCACAGATGAAGTTAATTCATCTGTACAATTGGAAGGGGTGGAGCTTGGCTGCACCTCCCTTGGACCTCATTTAAAGGCTGACTGGCGCTGGGGAAGGATCTCTTTCTAGAGATCCCTCCTTGGTTGAAGCTTTCCCCTGCAAACCTGGAATCTTCTGATATGGGTAAGCAGTCTTCTTCCTTTATAGCACCTTTCTATCATGCTGATCTTTCCATCGTTACACCTTTGGTGAAATACCTTTCCCCATCCTATTGATCTATCCAATTGCTACCCACTCACAGGCATCAGCAGCATCAATGGCACCTAGCAGGGCGGGAGGTGGTGGGCAGAGGTGGGCACGATCCATGCCATGTAGGAGCTTGGTACCACCCAGCAGAGGGTTGTCAAAGGACTGGGCTGTTAGTGAGCCATCATCAGCCTCTGTGTAGAGCAGGATCGACTCCATCAGTAGCAGCTCGTTGGTCTTCTTCTCCACCAGACCTGCATAAGAAGGAGCACAGTGCCCACAAATGTTTCCCTCAGGTGGTGCCATCAGATGGATGGTCTCCTCAGGGACGAGGTCCCCAGGTTGGGCCCTGTGCCCAGAGCCAAGATGGGGCTTGGAGATGTGTATATAGCCAGGTTAGCTCATGAGTTTGCGTGGAATTTGGCATCCGAATTTCACTTTCTTCAAGGGTGCAATGGGTCTCAGGTAGACAAAAAAAAGGATGAAAATGAAAATGAGCAAGGGGAAGGGAGACAGAGAGGCACAGAACCACAACTCACCCAAATATTGCATCAGATTCAAGTCTGTGATCTGCCCCTTGTCTCCAAGTTGCTCTCTGATCTTTGTAGCATCACAGTTGTTCTCTTTGAACAGGACCTCAATGGCAGATTTGAGCTGGCCGAGGACTTTGCTGCCTTCTTTGCATCTGTCTTCATAGTCATTGGCTTTCTTGGTGTTTTGACTGAGCTCTTCCTATCAGCAAAAGTTCTGAGAGGTGTCGCAACTGCTCTCTGCTCTTTCCTCCCACCCCAGTGCAGGCCATTTCCAGTTTAGAAACTGGAAATATCCCCGGAGAGGTTGTGGGGGAAAAACAACCTGTGAAGGAGATCTCACACACTCTCCATGTTACAGAGAAGACCCCCAGGCTTTGAAAAACCAGGGCTGGCAGGAGATCTGCTGCCATCAAAATCTGAGACAGAGAGCCCATTTCTACCCATTTTCAGAGCTTGTTCAGTCACTTGCCAGAGCAGCGTTGTCAAGACCAGACTTTCACTGACAAGATAGTGCGGAGCTGTGGGTGCCCTACCCCTGGAGGTGTCCAAGGCCGTGGATGGGCCCTGGGCAGCCTGAGCTGGCAGGGGGCAACCTGCACATGGCAGGGTTGGGGCTGGGGGATTTGAGGTCCCTTCCAACCCAACCATTCTGTATTCTATGATAGATCAGCACCCGCTATCTCTGCAGTTGGAAATCCCAGCCATCCTACCTCTAATTCCTTCAGGACATGAAGGCTGCTGGCCTCTGTGTTCTCCTGGTCAGTTGTGAAGAAAGCGATTTCATTCTGTGCAAACAAAAGCACATGGAGGGGACAGTGGCTGCCTGTCCAACAGATGTGCGGAGCCCGGGGATCATCCCTGTGCCCTGGGAGCAGGGGCGCCCCAGCTGACCCCCCCTGGGGACCACTCCTCAACAGGCAGCCTTTCTTGTTCCAGCCAGCTCCGCACAGGGCTGAGGCAGCTCTTAACTCTCCCTGAGCGCCTTCTCGTGCAATATTTTTGCTGGAAACACGGTGGCAGCATTGGGACGCTTTTAGTTTTGAGCAGGCACTTCTCTGCATCTGGGAGCTGTACTTTTGGCTGCCCTTCGCTTTCATCTAAGATGGTCTGTAAGTCAGAACCTGGTGTAGGCAGCAATGCTGGTCACGTGGAGGAGGAAAAAACAACCCTGACCCTGATGTGTTTTCTGCAGTAGGTATGGAGAGCCTGGGAGCAGGACTGCAACAAACCTGGAGGTTCTTGATCCTCTGCTGCAGCTTCTCCATCTCGCTGTTCAGCTCTGTGGCGTAGCTGAAGTAGGCAAAATTCTTCCCCTCCTTTTCAATGAAACCATCCACAAGCTGGTCGATATTCCCATTCTCTGCCAGCTCCAGCAGTCTCTTGTATGTCACCTCCCGGCTCTCAAAGCTTTCCCCTTGGCTTCGCTTCATGCGCTGGGCTGCCTTCAAGGCTGGAGGAGAAGACAGAGAGGCTGAGATATGTGTATCTCTGCTGGAAGAGCCTCTGCCTATGAGTGGGGAGATGGGGAACTTGGATCAGAACAAACACAGTACTGCCTAGAGATTAGCAAGGAGGCCACAGTCTGCATGGGGGGCAAATACAGCAGGACTTAAGGAGCCATAGGTGCACATAGGAATCACTTCCCTGCTTCCCCTTCCCTTTTTCTGCACCAAGGGCACGCCAAGACAAACAGTGCTCCTAGCCCTGGCTGTCTTTGGGTTGCAGTGCTCCAAACTGCTGCAAGTAGCTTCCTTGCTGGCCTTGCAGACTCCTGGTTTGCAGCCTCAGCTGCAGGAGACTTCTTGTATGTGATACCTTCCTTCTTTTTGGCCTGTTCCTCCATTTCAGAGCGATCTGTATATTTGGCAAGCACAAAGGTTTTCAGCTTGTTCTCCTGCTCACGGATCCGTTCTCGTTCCTGCAGCTCAATGTTGTACTGGGCAGTGTTTTGTCTGTGCCTTTCATTCATGGCTGCAATCCTTGCCAGGTACTCTACCCTGAACACAGAGAGTTGCATCATGCATAGGTGGAAAGAAGTGCGGGTAGAGGGATTTGTATTCTTGTAGGCAGACTCTATAGGACCAGAGCTGGCCTCTGCTCCAAGTTCTTGTGTAAGCTCAGGTGGGACTCAGAGCAGAGACAGCTCCATGGGGCAATTCATCCCATCATGAGCAATATCTGGGATGGGTGAAATAAGTGACGCTCTAGAAGTACCAGTCTGTTCAGGGACCAGGCATCCAACCTTTAGATAGCACCCAGCCCTTGGCAGAACAGTGAATCCTCTCTCAGGAATTATAATTAGTTTCTCTTCACATTGACAGCAGTCACTGAAATTGCCCTGAATGCTGAACTGCTGAAGACTCAGTGAGCCACATACCGCTGCTTGTGTGCCTGCGTGGCCTGCTCTATGGCAGTGTCCATCCTCCTTTTCTGCTGGGCCAGGTGCTTATGGAGCTTTGAGTAGAAGTTATCCAAAGTGGCTTTCTGAATTCGAAGGCTTTCGATCTCTTCTTGGAGCTTATTATTGGTGGTCAGGATGGTATCAAAACACACGGTGACCTGGGGAGAGGGAAGTAAAACAGCTCTGGTTGGTACAGAATCTCTGCTGAAAGGCATCGATCAGGGCTAGGACAAACACAGAGAAAGAGATGAGATATAGGACCTGCCCTGTTCTCATTGCAAATCATGTGAGGCAACAGTGAGCCAGGCTTGTCATAACAGAGACCTGATGTTGGCATTGCCCAAGGTAAAGTGGCTCTGGGCAGCTCAGTTTTATCACAAAACAGGTGCACACCTTCAGGCCTCTTGGCACGGAACAAGTGCTGCATTTGGGTCACCAAACTTGAAGGAGTTTTTCAGGTACTCTGGGAGCAGTGAGGGAACAAGCTGAGTCCTTTGTACAGCTTGTAAAAACCAAATGCGTCTGCACTGTCACCCTTACTACTGATCAAAAAGCATTTTGTACGGGCTGCAGCTTGGCCCTGAAACTCTGCAAAATGTTTGCTTACGTTGTTCAGATGCAATTCCAGTGTCTGAGTCTGGTTTTGCAGCCATTTGCTGCAGTTTGCTTGCTTCACTTTCTTTGTTATCACATTTTGCCTTTCAACCTTCTTTTGCAGCTCTAGGATCTGTACAGAGAGAATTAAAAAAAGAAAAACAAAGTATAATCTCCACCCCTACAGTCTGGATTTTTGTCAGAACACTCAACCAAAGAAAATACCCTCTGTTGACCTGCACTACAGCAACTGTGTCCCTAATGAGCTCATGGCTATTGAAGCATCTTTGATCCAAAAGGATCCCATTCTGCACACTCAGAAACATAAACTGTAATGAGAAATTGCTTTATTTTCACATCACCAGGGAAAAGCAGCTGCATCTGGAGGGAAATTCAGTAGGTGTTGAACTCAGCAGCACTCTGTGTAGGGTGAACAGGCAGTGAGGATGGATTTTTTTCATAGCAGTCCTAGCACAGACTCCATAAATGAGTGAAAGAAAATGTTTGACAGAACAGAGCAGCTGATAGTGGAAATAAATCCACAAGAAGCATGAGGTAGTTAGAGAACTCTGAGGCTGGTGGAAGTGTTATGAAAGCCAGGAGATCCTGAGGTCCTAACAAAGTCAACCCAGCTATGAGGCTCCCATTAATGGACAGCTCTGCAGCACCTCTAGCAGTTGCCGGTCACACAGGTCTCTGCTCTGCTGTACCATGCTGAGCCAGAGAGTGGTTCAGATGTGCTCACCTCATTGTCCAGCTCAGACACCAGGGCTTTTCTATCTCTAATCAGACAATCATACTGATCCTTGGTCTGCAGAAGGCTTTTCAGCTCCTTGCAGTTTCTGTCATCGTGAATCGCGTTTCTCAGGGACCTGATCTTGCTCAGTATTAATGACACCTCTTGGTGTTCTTGCTTCAGTGACTGGATTTCTTTCCTGCAGAGGTAGAATGACAAATGACATGAAGCACATTCCTCCTGCAGGGCTGGGATAGGTCTTTGTCCCATCTCACTGCTGAGGTCCACAAGAAGTTTTGGTATGGAGGGACTTTCCGAGCCCATGGAGCCTAGTGAAGCTGTACTCACTCCTGAGTTTGCATTTGTTGTCTCGTGCTGGCACCGAAAGATTTTCTCTTCTCCACAGCTATCTGGAGCTGTTTCTGCAGCCTGTAGAACTCCACCTGTATTTGCCTTTCTGTCACAGGGAAGTCTGACGGTGTGTGCATTGAACTGGACCCTCTCAGCTGCTGCAGAAAGGGAAAGTTTGGTAACTTCAGAAAATACAAGCAATAGTTCATTTGGACTCAGGGTTAAAGCCATCCCCACCTTCAGTCTTTTAACACATACCCAGCTACTCATCACAGTCTCCAACCCTCCACTGCCACCTAAGTACCCATCAGTATGCCGAACACTGAGCCAGGGAAACAAGCCATGAATTCTCTCCTTGCAACACCACAAAGCAAGGTGTTGGCCTTGACCAGTGCCAACAACTGATGTATTGGTCTCCCACAGCATCCAAATCTCAGGGTATGGCCCCATGCCTGATGCAGAGGATGAGATCAGCCCCTACAGTCACCCAGCAGCTTGCTAAGAGGCAGAGGCAGGAAGTCTGGTCCTGTCCAGATCACACCATAGAATTTAGCTCTGCAGGTTGGGTGCTGACTCCACTGAGAAGTCCGAGCTGGAATATTTAATTGGTTTTTACCTTTGAGTTCTTCATTTTTCCTGTCTAACTTCACTGCTCGCTCTGCAGAGACCTCAGGGTGAGAGGAGGGAGCCTTCCTGGGAACCACCTGTTTTCAAAGGGGAGAAATGAAGTCTGGTGACAAAGTTGCAGTGGTGCTGGCACAGAGGTCAAGGCTGCACCATCCTGCCCTGCCCTGAGCACCTACTTGCGTGCTTGGCACATGAGGTATCTGTCACAGATGGCAGCATGATGAATAAAAGGAGAGCATTTGTTGTGATGTCATCACCAAACGCTCTCCTCTCACTGAGTTTATAAGTAGGGGGGAGAACAGATGGTTCCAGCTCTTCCATCCTGCTTGGTACCTGGGTTTCCATAGAAATCCCAGCAAGGCCAGGCCCCCTCACACCAGCAGCCAGATCCTCAGGGGAGCGCATTGGAACAGTTGTATGTGGACATGATTTCTGCAGGGAATGCTTCACCCCACAGAGCTCCAGCTGAGGAGGGCACAAAGGCTGATCCTGCAGCCTCCAGCATCCATGGGTGTCTCCCTGTCCCCCTGACACTGCTGTCAGTGCTTACCCTGCTGCAGGATGTTGCCGTTCCTCTCTGGCAAGGCAATGGGGCTGCTGCTTTCCTAAGGAAAATCTCGTTTCCAGTGGGAAGTGTGGGAAAGATGAGACCCAGAATGGAGCAGGGAGGGCCAACGGCTGGCCCTTGGCCTCCTGGAACCCGGTCCTGGGCATCAAAAAACTGGTGCTGGGCTGGTTGCTATGGCAGCATCTCTGCACCACAACACGGATGGGGACTGTATGGGAACCACACCAAGAGTTATGATTTGGAAACCACCCCTGAAAACATCACCAAAGCCTGTGCTGTGACATCCTCCTGGTGGTGCGTGCACACCAGGTATAAACCCGCATGGTACCCATTCCCATTTCTGTCTGCAGACTTTGATTCTATCCCGAGATCCCCAGGGACAGAAGCACAAGATAATGTTGGAGGTTGCTGCGCAATTCTGGGTCCTGCAGCCCTGGTGTAGCTCACTCAGCTCCGGGATGAGGATGAGCAAAGGGTGTCCACATCCCGCTTTGCACAACTGCGTCCATATGGATAGTTCAAGGCAACAAGCAAAATCCCTAAGCGGCTCGTGGCTCTTGAGATGGTGCCTCCTCATTATCCTGGAGACTTTGATGAGCTAACTAGCCAGCCAACAACTCCCAGGCTACTTCCAGATAGGATTTCTGGATGCATTTCATTGGAAATGTCTTTCATGGAAGAGAGCAGATTGTGGCTGCTTTCCCTAGGCTTGGACTAGTCCAGCTTCAAAACACTCCATTTATTCATCTTTGTGTTTCTTCTCCATGCATCAATTGTTCAGTTATGGACAAGTGAGTAAATTAAACTATTGAGGAGGAGTCTGATTTGGTAGAGTCCGTGTCTGTCACACTCACTGTAGAAGCATTTATTTTACTAAAGGGAACTGTTTTCACCCAAACAATGCTCCACTGTCAGACTGCTTTGAGTGAGTGTGGCTTCATTGTCTGACGGACCTTCAGCTGAGCAGAATGGCAATCAGAGCAGAATAGGATCATCTGTAACAACTAAATCCAGTAATCTTCTAGAAGAAATAGGAAAAAAAGTAAGTTTTGGAGCTTTTTCGCTTTAACCCACCTTCCCTGACTCAATAGACACATTTAGCACTGACTGACATGGAGAAATTATTTCTTTAGCTGAAGATTTGGAGTCTAATTAAAACTGCTTAAACTATTCTAGAGGCCATATTCTGAGTTGTGCAGCCAGTGTAAATCCTCCCCGAGTTCAGCAATATTTACACAGATTTCTTTATTTCACCTGGGCTAGTTAAAAAGTGGCTGAAGGAGCAGTCAGACTAGGATGGGTCTCATCTGACCTCACCCACCTGTGAGTGTTCCTCAAATGTCAGTGAAAATCTCTGGGGTAAGCTGGAGAATCAGGCCCGCATTTTCATGCAAATGTAATATATTCATGTTATTTAATCCCTATTTATAACAAATCCAGAACTTAATTCTACTTAACCCGTCTTTGGTGTTTGACACATGAAATCGGTGAGTCAGAGAGCTATATATGGAACTGTCAAAACTTTCTCTTTTCCCCCCCCTCTAAAAGCCTGGATTAAATCATAACCAATCTCCCATCAGCTCCGGCAGCACCACTGGGAGAACTGGGAAGATGCTGGTGAGAAGCAGTGATGGGGAACTGTCAGCTCAGCCCAAGGTCTGAAGACAAAACCAGACAGAACAGACTGAATTCAGCCACACATGGTGCATCATTGCCCAACAGGCACTGGCAAGGCTGCCCGGGGAAGTGGTGGAATCACCGTCCTTGGAGGTGTTCAAGGTGTTGTTTGAGCATCTGAAACAATGGCACAAACATCTGGTATTATTTTTCTTAATTAACACTCAGAACAGAAAAAAGCAAGAGCCAAATACGCCAGGCACTCTAAAAGTGCATTTTTCATGCTGATAGTTTACAGTGTGAAAATAATGAGCACTTCTCCATCGTTAGAAAAGACAAAACAGTGCAGTGGCTTTCACCTCTCAGGAGGTCTTTCCAGGCTGCAATGGCAGCAGGATGGGATGGAGATGTCTCTGCATGGGCACATGATTCCAGATTTGAAGGGTAATTGCTGTTAAGTGAGGGGAGAGCTGGCTGCTGGCTGCACAGCTGGAATTGCTCATCACTCCAAGGAAACAGTCATCATCATTTCCTGCAGATGGGTTTCTTCTGAATTGCTGACATCGAGAGAAATGTGGCTTCCAGCAGCAAATTGGCTCCTTTGTGGCACTACTTAGTGTTTTTTTAAAGGGCTGTTATGGAGTTGGGTTCTCTGAGACTTGACTTTGGGAAAGCTAAACTCTATTGCAGGTTCAGCCCCTCAGCAGAGCCTAAAAGCAGGGGTTTGCTCCCTCATCTCTTCTGGCTTACTGATGTCTCTGCTTGTGCTGAATTACTGCTCCAAGGCTGCGAGGGGGAAACATGGAATTGAAATAGCTGTGGACACACTGCCAGAACCTGCTCTGTCTGTAAGCAATTAAAGGCCTCTGAAAATTTCTCTGGCTTAGGTCAAACCTGCATCACATTGAACCGTTTCAGAGGGATGTGGCCATTTTACAACCCAAAACCAAAGCAGGATGCAGCCTGGCTCAGGGATGGAACGCCCAGTGCAATAGCCCTGAAACTCTGCTTTAGAAGATCTATTTCCAATTAATCATTGCTGATTGCTGTCCCATGCAGTGTTTGTGATAAGAACACCTCATTAGCTGAACGCACTCAGGAAGTGGCTCTGGGCAACTCAGAATTTGTCTACGTAATGTCACCCAGGGAAACTAGTTTGAAATAACATTTAAAGGCAATTAATTAAACTGCTGTATGATTGTTCTGTACCATCTGCACACGGTTTATCTTATTTCGCTTTTTCTTCCCAAATTAAATGAAGGCCACTTTATTTTTAAATGAAGGCCATTGTTGAGTATGGCACGGGTGTGGGAGGAAATGGCTCTGGGAGCACCAAGGATTGCAGGACAGAGGGATTCTGCCTGGAGGATCTGCACCCTGCTCCTGCTCACACAGTGCTTTTATGGACAGAATCAGATCTCTGGGAGCTCTTTCTGTGTCCCAGATTGTGGCTTTACGGCAGAAGTGTGGGGACCCTGGGCAAACCTGATGGCAACTTCAGCATGAGGAAGGAAACTGTGTATGTGCACTGGCTCTACTTCTGACTTGGCGATGTGAAATCTCCTTTAAATGGAGACAAGGCAGTAAGTGCACTATGCAGATTTAGGACATGTCTCCCAGTAATTATTCACTCCTGGCCCTTCCATTTTTCTGAGCAGAGTCTCAGAGTGCTGCGTGCCGAGAATAGCCACTTTCCCAGCCTGCCTCTGGCTCCTCGGCCCTTCCCTGGAGCAGGAACAGATTGTTCTGAACACGCTGGTCCCTTTGCCATTTGTACAAGCTGGCTGGTTTTGCTGTTTATTGCCACTCACTTAGCAATGATCTTTTACAAGCTTGAAGCCATTGGCTGTCTCCCCTCCACTGCTCCATGCCCTATGCCATACATCCAAGGCATTACAAGGGACACCATTTTGGTAACAGGCAGTTGCTATTCAAGAGTTTAATTAAATGAAAGCTTTAAAAAGAAATCCCAGGAGTTCAGGCTGTATGTTTTTTTCACAGTTCAAATCTGGAGTGGCTCCCAAGGAAATGTAGAGGTGACACTAATCAAAGTGGAGTTATAGTGATTCCTGCAGGGTGTTGAGCTCTGAGTTAGCACACTCGATGGGATGAGTTCAAAGTAAGCTGCATGGCTAGGAGCTGCATTGGAAGACAGCATGTTAGCTATGCTACTGCTTTGTGGCAAATCTTATCCACTCCCATCTCCCATCAAACATAAGAACCCCAACCTGTCATTCATAGAATAATAGAATCATAGAATGATGAAGGCTGGAAAAGACTGTTGAGATCAGCAAGTCCAACCTCCATCCCATCACCAACCATGACCCTCAGTGCCACATCTCCACTGTTCTTGAACACCTCCAGGGATGGTGACCTTACCATCTCCCTGGGCAGTCTGTGCCACTGCATTAACACCCTTCTGGAGAAGAACTTTTTCCTAATATTCAACTTGCTTCTTCATCTGGATTTCCACTTCCCAAAAAGCCCCAGTGTGGCCCATGTCAGCATTTTATTGCCATGCTCCGGACTCAAGCTGGTGCTGATCTCTTGATGTTGGGTCAGGAGCTGCTCTTCCTTGTGCTGGGCCTGGGGTGTGGTACCAGTTCTGGTGTAGAACCAAGAGGGACCAGAATTTATTCCGCCTTCTGCTCAGAGAGAGGAAGATGAGTCCGCATGATTCCTGGTGTTTCATGGGTACCACACACAGGAGGGAGCATCCTTCCAGCACAGTGGCAGCGTGGAGAGACACAGCCCAAGTGTCACCATCACCACTGGGACAGGAGGAGCCTTCCAACCGCCTGCACTCCAGCACTGAGCTG